AGTAGAGCGAAAGAGTTCGGAGTTGCAAGAACGCTTTCTTACTTCAATCATAAAGAAGTAGAATTATGACGATCATCAATTGGAATACATCAGAGTCGAGTAAACAATCATCGTAAGAATGGTTGAATAATTACGGAGACCTATAAAAATTAATTGTAACATGGAAATTGTGGGCGCAAGTTATGCGAGCGAGTCCACCAACTAAACCAGATTTTGAACAGTCATGCTGTGGAATGTCTCAGTACTCCTTGTCAGTTTTGTGCTAGATTGTGTACGTCTGACTGTTGAAAATCTGGTTTAGTTGGTGGACTCGCTCGCATAACTTGTGCCCACAATTTCCATGTTACAATGAATTTGTTTTCCTTGGCTTATGAACACGGTCAATCTAGGATCGATGCTTGGAGTGGAGGAAGATATCAGTCGGAGAAAACGTCTAGCAACATGTGCCTTACATCAGCTGTGGGTGATATGACTAAGAGGTAACCATGCCCGTGAACCCCTTCGGATTAGGTTATACAGCAGCTTTATTCTTCCAATACTTCTTCATAAGTGCGGAACATGGAGCCTGACAGAGACTCAAGAAAAGAAACTTGACTCGTTCCACCGCCAGCAGTTACAGGCAGTCATAGGGGTCAAATATCCCCGTATAGTACCCGTATAATACGCAATGAAGCACTGTACAAGCGCACTGGCTCCAAGCCACTCAGCAGAATCATCCAGTCTGCTAGGTGGAGAATGCTTGGCCACATGCTTCGACTAGACACCTCATCCCCGATCCAACAGACTATGTCGGCATACTTTCAGCCAGGAAGCTCAGGGTTCCGCGGCCGCCCGAGAGCAACCCTCCCGCGATCTATCAACAACGACCTGAAAAATTCCAGATCCATAAACTCCCTCGCATCACACGAGGATCTAGTTGCACTGAGGCAGCTCGCCCAGGATCGTCGAAAGTGGAAGGAACTAATGTGTGCTGTGTGTAGTGGCTGAAGTTACACAATTACACTAGATACTGTAACAATTTTATCAACAATTATTATAATTACCACTTATCAAATGCTGCAGATACCTATCCAGAATCGGCAATATGATGGCCCTGGCCTGGAGATCTGCAACTACAATCAGTTTCTACTTTGCAATAATAACGGATTAGTCCCCTTTGTCCATTGATGGATCAATCGGTACCAACGTATTCGTAACTCCGATCAGTAGCTTCGGCTCTGCTTTTCTTTTTTTTCTTTTTTTTAAACTCATTGGATTTCTTTGTATTCTGTGTCTCTTTATCGTTATATTTTCCTCTAGCCCTCTCGCTTATGATGAGCTTTTTTTATGGCAGCTTAGCTTAAGCGAAGGCTATATACCTGCTTTATGCAGAATGATGCCAACGCGAACAAGCAAAATAATAATAATATTAATATCATCTGAGTTCTTAATGCACACCTAAATGTACAGTTTAATATGTACATGTACATGTACACGTACATGTATACTGCAGACCGTTAGAAACAGCTAGACGTGCTATCTGCGAAGGTGGTAATGGAAATACCATCTTTCTCTTTCTCTCTCTCTCTTTCTTTCTGACTCTCTCTCTCTCTCTCTCTCTCTCTCTCTCTCTCTCTTTCTTTCTTTCTGACTCTCTCTCTCTCTCTCTCTTTCTTTCTGACTCTCTCTCTTTCTTTTGACTCTCTCTCTCTCTCTCTCTCTCTCTCTCTCTCTCTCTCTCTCTCTCTCTCTCTCTCTTTCTGACTCTCCCCCTTTTTTCTCTCTTTCTTCCTGACTCTCTCTCTCTCTCTCTCTCTCTCTCTCTCTCTCTCTCTTTCTTTCTGACTCTCTCTCTCTTTCTTTCTGACTCTCTCTCTCTCTTTCTTTCTGACTCTCTCTCTCTTTCTTTCTGACTCTCTCTCTCTCTTTCTGACTCTCTCTCTCTCTCTCTCTCTCTCTCTCTCTCTCTCTCTCTCTCTCTCTCTCTCTCTCTCTCTCTCTCTCTCACTCACCCACATGAATACACACACACACACGCCTAAGTGCTTGGACTTAGAACGCCCATCGCAAGTGCGATGATAGCGTGCGAGCTGAGCAATAGGGGGAGTGACGTTTCAAGTCACCCGATCTGCGAAATGTTCATCCACCCATGCATTGAAAACGCTTCGTTGAAAACTCTATGCACACAAACACATATATACACACTCGCTCCCTCCGTCTGTCTCCCTCTTTTTCTCCCACGCTCTCTATCTCTCTCCCTCTCTCTCTCTCTCTCTCTCTCTCTCTCTCTCTCTCTCTCTCTCTCTCTCTCTCTCTCTCTCTCTCTCTCTCTCTCTCTCTCTCTCTCTCTCTCTCTCTCTCTCTCTCTCTCTCTCTCTCTCTCTCTCTCTCTCTCTCTCTCTCTCTCTCTCTCTCTCTCTCTCTCTCTTTCTCGCTCCCTCCCTCCCACCGTCTCACGCTCTCTTTTTCTGTCTCTCACGCTCTCCCAGACTCTTTCTTACTCTTCCTCCTCTTCTCTTTTTCTCTGCCTCTCTTTCTTTCTTTGTTTCTTTCTTTCTGTCCTTCTTTTCTGTCTGAGTCATTCTTTGGTCTCTGAACATGCCTCTAATAAAGTGGTACATGTATAATCGAATGGATATCACTACTGTTCCACAGAACATTGACCCCATCACTCTGAATACCCTGCTATACACCATGATGATCACTGAGCATGGATGCACAAACAAGATCACAGAAAAGTTTGAAATAATTCTTAAAGGGGAAGTTAAGGCAAAAATTAAAATTTCACCAGTTGTAGTCTTCGGGGTGCTGAGTCGAATGGTCGTGGTCCGAGGAAGCTGAGACGCTCCCTTCCTACTTGAATCCCAATCGAACTCGCGCACTTCCACCGAAACTGGGTGACTGCGCCCTACTATATGGGGATTTGTATGCAAAATGTCACTAAAAGCGCCATTTCGTTCTTATAAAAGCACGGATGACCGCGATTGGCCCATATGTTGTAGTCTTTGGGACGCTGAGTCGACTGGTTTTGGTCCGAAAAGGCTGCGATGCGGCGTTCCTCCTTTATTCCCAATCGAACATGGTTGAACAAGCGGTCACGTGCTCCTGCGTACACCAGTCACCTGGTCACCGTGCCTGCAGGGTACAACTTACTAGCCTGTTTGACCTTTTTTGGGTGCAGTCCTGTCACTCGAGTTGAACTCGAGTTGAACCTTGGTGTGAAAGTTGTCACCTGCTGGCGTGGTGACCAGGTGATTTGGGCACCCAGGACCACGTGACCGCTTCTTCAGCCATGTTCGATTGGGAATAAAGGAGGAACGCTGCATCGCAGCCTTTTCGGACCAAAACCAGTCGACTCAGCGTCCAAAAGACTACAACATATGGGCCAATCGCGGTCATCCGTGCTTTAATAAGAACGAAATGGCGCTTTTAGTGACATTTTGCATACAAATCCCCATCTAGTAGGGCGCAGTCACCCAGTTTCGGTGGAAGTGCGCGAGTTCGATTGGGATTCAAGTAGGAAGGGAGCGTCTCAGCTTCCTCGGACCAAGACCATTCGACTCAGCACCCCGAAGACTACAACTGGTGAAATTTTAATTTTTGCCTTAACTTCCCCTTTAACTACGCGAGCAACAGCACTGTTCAAACCAGGCAACACCAATATCACGAAACATTACTTGAACAATTTCAAGGCATAGTGATAACACTACTAGTATCTTGATGGACACACAAATTCTCCTTATATGATTCCCTGACAAAACAAGGCCGGTCGAGGCAGCTCAAGCAGAGTGCTCAATGCACAAATGTGCATAGCAGTATACATATACAACGGACAGCTGCATTTCCGGCTGATGTTCGCCATTTGTCGTGAAGCTCGGAGTAACATCTAAAAAACTCCCACTTTTGTCCACAGTGACAGCAAGGGTGACGCGCTCTGCACATACCGTGCACTGAGCAGCATCGGAGCAACAGTGGCTGCCTGTGTGCCCATATGAAATCGTAAAAATCGTAAATCTATATTCCGAGTAGTAGTGGTGCATGGAAAGTTACATTGTGCTTCAAAGAAGTGGTTATTAGTAATTTGCCTTGAGTTTCTTTAGATCATACTTTTTTCAAATTTTCATTTTGATTTCATCGTCGAGGTTTCATCCGTTGTATCTTTGGTTTTCTTCCTTCCTTCCATGTCGTAGTGTTTTAATAAATCCGTTTTGAGTAAACCACACAATCATAATTGTGACCTGTAACTGCTGCTACCGCGTTTTAAAAATGGAACGCTGCAAATTTGTTCTACAAATCATTATCTAATATAAAGTACATTGCGCACTGATCAGCACTGTGGTATACTGATAGTTCCAGAAATGGTGGAATATCTGAAGCTTTCCCACTTTCGAACTCCAAAATGGCACAGTTCCCTGCACATACTACTAGTACACACGTATCATGATCTTGTACGGACATACAGGTAGCCTCAACGTGTGACACCCACAAGCAGCTAGCCCTGGACTGGAGTGGCTGTGTTCAGTGTTTCTACATGCACTACTTCCATTTGACTCTGCTCGACTCCACAGACTCTCTGCAGGACCGCCGGAAACAGTTTTAGAGCAGTGGTCCGTTCATAACATAATCTGTCATAGACCACCCTTTTCAGGTGATCTACGGATATCTCCCCTCGTTTGAGGGGATTATGGCTCATAATCCCCTCAAACGAGGGGATCTCATATCCACAGCATATCCTGTGGATCCCCTCGGACGGTGGGTCGGACCCAGTCCTTCTACCAGCATAACCAAGAGAGCTTCGGGGATTTATAATCCTCTCGGAACCGAACCGTGCAACATCCTATACATACAGTTTGTGTATGATAGTGGCTACACATACATGAAACCTCCACAGCAGTAAACATGCATTGATGGCCTACAAGGTCAGTGGTCTGGTGATGACCTGACCAACTGGACCGGTCCGGTGGGACTGCTCTAGATCAAACACTACAGATAGGACACGATGTTAGTTTTCTCGAGAAAAGACATGATCATTGTGACATTTTAGTTTTTCCCAGTGAACTTGACGTGACTGATGCACACTGTGTATGTATTGGTTAGTGGGATTGATGTCAAGAAGTGATAACACTGAAGGCTATCTGCGGCTTAGCTCAGCAGCCAGCATCTCAACTTTAATTTGGTGATAGAATAATAGCGCTCATGGTTGAATTGTGAAAGTATAGCAGATACACGATTGCGTTTCCAAGGTGATTCCGTTGTGAGGTGGGCGTCAAGAATATATGATTTGCGCACGACTACAATTGAAAAGGCATGATAAACAAAGCGGGTGTGAAGAAAAAGCACAATTGAAATGGTATAGCGGCACATACCGCCTATACTCTCATGTTATTCCCAATGATGCTCATTTCAGCTTGATGAAAAGGCTGATATGGATTTGGTAAGCGCCACTTGTATAGAGACAATAGTTGCTTTTCATTTTCTTATTAGAGACAATACGCCGAAGACAAGGATATTCGATAGGTATCTTCATCTTGCAGGACGGTCTCAATACTGCAGAAGTGATTTCTAAATGCATGATTGCAATGATAAAATGATTCAGTTTGCTCATCATCACATGACACACGCTAGCTCTCAAGTTCTCTCATTGCTCTCTCAAGTTCCGCACCGAAATGCCGTGATCAAAATAGTGTTGCAATAATGCATGCTTGAAGTCTCGAACGCCCGTTCAGGCAATTTGATAGGTCTATGACTAACCGCACGGGCGCTGATTGTGATATAGTGTTCTATCTCTGCGTGTTCAGGGCGAGCTCTCCAGATGCCGATGTCCAGCCACTGAGATTTGACGCTATGCATCTGTAGCGGCCCACATCGTTAATCGAAACCGAAGATATGACCAGCTCGCTGACAACTGTGAGTAGGCCGTTGCCGTCGTGTGGATTCTGCAGCTGACGGTGGCGCAGTCTGAGTGGCTGCGATGACAGGTTCTGGCCGAGGAACTCCCAGTTGATCTCCAGCAGGCTACTGCCGACGGCACTGCACGTCAGCGTTACGCTGCCGCCGGGCCTGGCTTTGCGGTTACGGGGCGCCTTGATGATAATGGGAGATTCCATGTGAGGCTGGCCTGCATTCGAACACACACACGCATGAGAGAGTTACCCAACAGAGCAAGCACACGCACGATTAGCTACTGCCTGAAAAACATGGCCAAATTCTAAGCACAACATTGGAGAAGCTCTGCAGATGATGGTTTATGAAAGACCTCTCGAATGGAGTCCAGGATAGGCTGCATACAGTACCATGCTAGTGGTGTAAGCTGCACCATATGAACACCGATGTTTAGCTGGACCTGCAATACCAGGTACACACGCTCTCGCATACACTTGGAGCTCTAGCTCATACCCTGGAAATGGGAGGCATAATTGCAGCCCTGGCTGTCATACTAAATCAATCACGAAGGCAACTGAGGGCAACCAAGGTGAGAGCCTACGCCAATATAAGCTATATGGATCTTACATGTGTGCACTGGTGGACTGGCAGTAACAAAGAGCAAACTCACCAACAATGGAGACCTGAACACTGATGTTCCTCTTGCCCAGCGGGTTCTCAGCCATGCACACGAAGTGACCAGCGTCAACCTGCGACGTGTGTCGTATCACCAGGGATCCGTCGGACAGATACGAGTAGCGTGGATTGCCGCCGTCGATAACGGCGCCGTCCCTCGCCCACCGGATCTGCGGCTTCGGGTAGCCGCGTATCTTGCAAGCGACGATGGATGTTTTCCCGCTGACAAGCACCCGCCTTCGGTACATCTCTCTCAGGGGACGCGGCGGAGCTGCAAGAGAACAATCACAAAAGCGAGGAGGCGGAAATAGGAGGTTGCAGTCTCTGTGAATAGGCGCATAGTAACGTTACTGTACTCAGCAATGACAAGACCTGGGCCTGCTCCAATATGTACATGTCTACAAGCATGCGTTATCCATGTAAGCACACATGTACATGTACACCGGAACCACTCCATCTTGTATTTGGCTTGAGGGCATTCCATGTCAAACACTGCCTAGATGCTGGTACCTGCCAACTGCTGCATGGGTATGGGCCAATTCTACCCATGACTCAACATTGCTGAACAGCTTTTAAATCCAATCATGCTTCACTCCACAGTAAGCTACACGCCCGCTAGCCAGAAAAATTCTGGTCAGTTTCCTGTGCTCCTCATCAGAAATTGAAGAAGCTGGTGAGATACTAGTATTTTGCCCTGCACTCTGCAGCTTAGAGGAAGTCCCATCATCTCCAGGGTTCTGCGTTCGAACTGGAAATCAGGTTCTGCTCCTTGATGTCTCCTTGAATGAGCCTCGTTTTCTCATTTGTGCCAACCTTCCGGCGGAAATACTCTCATTCACAGCACTAGGGAACAACAAAGGAACTACTAGAGCCATGCAGGCGGCGCGTTAGTCCAGGTCTGAACGCATACGCGCCGTGTTACGGAACAATGCGTGTCTTACAGAAAGCACTTGAAAACGTTATGTTTCGTTCGGCACGTTTGTAGATCACTCTCCAGTCCACCGACTCACTTTGTAGCTACCGAAACGAAAATACACACGGCTACCCTGGCGAATAAAGCATGCAATGTTAAAGAGCAGAATACCTTTGTGCTGAGTTCTTCAACAAGAGGCACCGACTTGTCAACTAAAACGGCTTTTGCCAGCAGTAGATCTACTCCAGATAATGACAGGCGGTACTTGTAGGTAAATGTCACAAAAGAACCTTTCTATTTCCTCACCTTGTAATCTCAGGAGGATGGTTCTACATTCCGAAGCATTGCTTAGTCTGCTGCTTCTTGAGGGAGTCTTTGGCGTGCAATGGTAGAGCCCCTCGTGGCCACTGGTCAGACGGCGAACCCTGAGATTTCCGTTCCGTAGCAGGTCGAACTCTCCGTAGGCGATCGGTCCGCGACGACCTCCAATCGGTCTCAGGATTTTGTTGCTGAAGCGATCCTCCAGGCGCTCACCACCGATATACCACTGCACGGCGTCCTGCCGAACACCCAGATTGCAGCGCAGTGTGATGCGCCGGCCCGCCTTGGCCGCCTGGACAGTATACGCTGCAGGCGGAGAGTGCGGTCGAGGAGCACATGCCGGCGGAAAGGCGTGAGCCTGCTGTCCCGATCTTTCACCTGAAGCAGCAGATGGAGCCCAAGCAGCAACAAAACAAAGAAAAAGAGGGAAATCCAGAATGGTTCGGGGACGAAATGCAACATACTACAATCATGTACAATCGTGCAAGCAGCATCGGTCACTCGTGGTGTAGAACTACGGTTTGGCTGAACTACTTACGTACTTCAATTAGCAGTCACCAACGCACACTTTAAACTTTCAATTAGGCTTGTTAGGAGTAGTAAAACACGAAACTTCTGAAGCTCTTTTTATCAGCACTTTTACTTGAATCATGAGTGTCCCAGTACCTAGTGCCTGCTAGCAGGTATGGATGGCTTTGAATGGCAGAGGTTTCAACCACCTTCCTGACACAAACTGCTCATATTCTGGGCTTGTACCGGTACTTGGAAAACCTGGACATTGTACAATCATGATTGTAGTACTTTGTAGAGTGTAGCCACATAATTACACTGTATACCCTAGATAGATAGTACTGCGGAGAAAAGAACATGCATAACGAGTGTGCAGGCAGATCTACACTGGAGCTCTGGGGGTTATGTACTCTTGATGTCAGGGTACTAGTAATACGATGACTATGTACAGCTATTTCACAAGACCTACAAATACACTGTACAATGAGTACACGCGATTACACCGGTCCCATGGCCGCAAGGGACAAAACTGTGTTTTCCGCTGACTGCCCTTGTGTAGGGCCTAGGGCCAGTTGGGGTCGTCGTCCAATCGCGCGGTTATCCTGGCGTCGTGGACAGTGCGCTAGTGCGTGTGTTCTGGAGACGTGTGCCAAAAATGCGGGTATGGCGGGCATGTAAAATAAAACTGACTAGGAAACCTGAACCATTCGTGTGTCTGCTGAAACTGCTTAGTAGCATCACAGGGTCGAAAGTCAGTTCTTCGCAGAGCAGACTAGAAGTGGTCGTCCAGACCATCTTGTGCGAGCGTGTACGTCATTATCGCAAGAGTAGTGTTGCTCCCCTCTCGGAACCGAGTGTGGTGTGATTCCTTCTAAATCGCGTGTATCTCATTCAAGCAAATGGTGAACAAGTGACGCTGAATTTTCTACTTCTGTGCTGTGCTGAGAGACAAAGATACAAGGTCTTTCCAGCGACCATCACTTCGGCATCAGGACTTCGAGGTAGCTTGTACTTTGTAGTACTCCACTATGCAGCACTAAGTGCACAATCATAGTCATTCCACATGTTCTGATTTCGAATGCGATGATTGATACTATGTACATGTACATGGTATGTACATAGTACAATGTATTTCACCATGTACATGTACATGTACCTGTAATGATTATGTAGATTGTCCACACACACACACCAGGGCGTTCATCATGGGGGTGAGAACAACATCTGCACCAGCATGTGGTGCAGCGATCCTCCATCATTGACCCATTGGCCTACTAAACGTGCTACAGCATTACAAGCAGGCACGTGAAGTCATGATGAAATCTAGGGATGGAATCCATCTCAGTGGCCGTGGAAGGTGCTGACCTGTACTCTCCTGTGTCCTGTTCAGGCAATTCACAATTACAAGTGGGTCTGAACTAGACGTACAAAGCCAGGACGATGCTCTCCCTGTTGTTAACTCACTGTTACTGTCACCACTTTGGACGTTCAGTAGGCTTCTATCCTACCGCCGTACCGGACCTCCCTGCAGTAGTCGCATTCCTGACAGCAGAACGACGGCTACAAACAATCTACTGGTGAACATGATCAGCCGAATCAGGGCGGATGCCACAACAGTGGATGAGACACTGACGCGGGGGACACCTGATCAGCCAAGACCACCTTCCCTTTCCAGTGGCGCCTCATTCACATCCAATGGTTTAGTGCTGTGTGGAGTGCGCCATGTCGAGGAAAACAAAAGGCCGAACGCGTTGAGGTCGCATTACATTAACAGCCCCTGTTCATGATTGCAGCTAATTGCTAACTGGTCGTATACAAGTTGCAGACCCTCGCATCCTCCGCGCCCAGGGTTAGCCGCGCAAACTGCCCTAGGTACCTACCATGTACGAGGCATACTGCAAGTGCTTTCTTCCGTGCATTCAACAAGCTGCGTCCCTGCCAGCAGCGGCAACAGCAGCGTCCAAGTTCCAGTTACACGTGAGCATTGCCTTCAACAATGGCAACAATGCTGAATTCAAGGCTCGACTGAAGTATTAGTTCATCTCTAGCCCTTGATCGCATGCGCACAAACACCTTACATGACATACAGCCAAACAGCCGTACACGTAATCATGCATCTGCGACAGGTGTGTATTCCTGCTGCCAGAGGACTTCTAGTAGTAGTTCTACAGCGAGGCTGTCGGGATTGAACTTCGCAGCGCTGCCAACACTACAAACGTAGCATGACTACGATGCATGTATTCTCGCAGCGTTGGCTTTGGTCGCTTCTCTATTACTTTCTCTATCACTGGTACGCCGCCTTTGACACCGGCGCGCGCACGGGCAATATCGGGAGAAGCGAGAACTCGTGATAGAAGATCTTTGGCACTCTTGGCTCGCCTACGGCGCTCTAGGTTTTCCACTAGACACATGTTGAACGTGTCCTGTTCACCTTACTGCCACTAAAGTTCCCACGCAAAGGTGGACAAGGTCAGCTGAACGATAGGTTCGCTAGGTTTGACATTTGCGGAGGGACGGACGAGACGTTCACCGCAATGACTCGCATCGATCGACTAAGTTAGTGGCGCAATAATTACGGAGCATCCATGATATACATGTAGTATCCCTGGTCGAATCCAAGACACATGTGTATTACGTATGTAGGCGTACTTCTAGAGTCGGGTACACCCATTTGATAGTCAACTCGTCCACCATCTCGCTGCTCAGGTTTTGCCCGTGTTTGTAGATCTGTGCAGGATGGCCAAATGGGATGCGAAGGAATCTTGTTTTCTGCGGCAGTTGCACGCGGAATTGGGTAAACAGTGCCGAAAGGAGCGAACCTTTCAAGTAGTTGTGTGTACATGCCCCTTGTTTGCGACACGTGTGGGGCTATTGCTGGAAATCACTGCGTGTGCTGATGCACACACTCATGTCATGAGGATCACCGGTTACTCACAGTAACAAGACTACGAGGCCTTCGCAGTATGTGCACCAGCCCTACGCATCGATCAGATCGTGTTGTATCCGGCCAAGCATCATGTAGAGGCGCCTCACAATTTCCCGATCCGTTTCACGCCATCACCAAGTCCGCTGCAGCGTTAGGTCGGTCACACATACCATGTGTATACACTTGCTGGCAACGCATCTGCTCGCACAATAATGTACATGTATCCAAGTGGGGGGTATAGGGCGTCATCCGATTAATTGTGCCTACATCCTATATCCACATTCTATCAAACCGAAAGTGGAAGGAGCAATGCAAGACGTATTATGTACGTTGTTGGCTCGAGGTATTGTCAAGGGGAAGCTACATCTATGCCATAACTGCAACCGTCTCTGAATCCACTGCGTCCGCTATACGCAACAATCATAATGACATACGATATGCTCAAACTTTGGTATGCAGAGAGCCACTGCTTCAGCATGACAAAAAGCTGATCAATTTCACCTACGCCACGACAATCTAATGATGCTGACATTACGAACCCCTGTGGAAGCGGAAGGTGTCCCTGTGCATGAATAGTTACGATGACGCGGGTTTCCCTTCCAGGACTCCGCCAATACACACTAACACAGTACACATGGCTGTGACGCAGCTCCGCTGGTCATTCTGGATTAGCTAGACTTCACATCATCTAGGCTGAACAGCAACAGCAGCAGCAGAAGCAGCAAGCCTTACTTGGCAATAAGCACTCCACGCAGTCACACTTACCGGCTCTGTCTGGAGCTCTGTCCATCATCCTGTCATCAGCGCTGGGTGCCGTCGTCGTGGCTGACACCGTCACACCAGATACGTCCGAAGCAGTGTCAGTCCGTGAAGCCAACAGCTGCTGCTGATTCCCTCGTCCTGCAGGCGGCTCTTCGTGGTTTGGGGGAATACGATTGGACGCTCTCGCTCCCCCATGACCAATAGGCTCTTGTCGCGGCCGCTCTACTGTGTTCGCGTATACGCCACGGCATAAGCACCAACTACCCATCAACCATACAAGGAGTAGTCTCTCTGCAGCCATATCGTCTAGATGCTGAGATGGATTAGCAAAGTAGTGCAGCCCTGTCACTCAGCTCACAATCCACCTACTGTCGCGGAGCACACTATACTGCGGACTGAGAATGTCTCTGGAGGACAGATCTCCCAAATGTTCCAGCTCACTCCGTCATACGTACAAAATTGCCAGTCAGCCAGCGACAGTGTGGTCGTGGACTGCAGAGATCCACACGCGGGTCGGATGAAAGGATAGCGCTCTCCGTGCACAATACTACACAATAGTGTAGTGCAATCTCTCGTCCAGCGCTTGCAAGTCAGTATCGCAGGAAGTTCCGGCTGCAAGCGTGCATGCGTGCCACACAGCAATCAGCGCATGAATACTAGCACCAGTACCAGCAGCAATAGCAGCAACCGTAGTGGGGACTGAATCACGACTACCGTTCTTGTACTTCTCTCTTCGTCTTAAATGCCCGGTGCTGCTGATCGGCCGGAGATCAAGCGAGAGAGAGAGAAAGGGAGAAGGCTGAAAATAGGCGAATAACTCGTGCAGAAGTCTGGCAAGTGGATTCGTTTGCGGACTGTCACCACGCGCGCACACACTGACTCCAATCGATGCAGTACTCCTTCCCTTTCCTGACCACTTCAACACCACAAAAGTACTTTGATTGAATACAGGTAATTTGTATCTGTACACCAGCTGAATTGTGTTAGGTCGAGATTGACCACGGACAACTCTCGATGGAGCTGTTCACAGATGAAACTGGACAGATTTGATCAGTCTGAAACTAATTAATAGCTTTATGTCCTCACACTTGCTTCTGACTTCCTGGCAGCTCAAAACCACCAAACCGAGTTTCTTTCCCCCCATTTATACCACGTCGTGTTCGTGGCCGCAGTGTCGAGGCTCTTATATCCCTTGCTGGCGTGATGTCTGTCGCTGCCACGTTTTCTGTATGTCCACGTACTTGTTCACGTGACCTTCGAGGAACCCTATTCTATGTCCTGGGGTGCGTCCGTAGTTGTAGGCGAATGTGTTTTTTCGTCCACACCTCGCCTTCTCTCTCTCTCTCATTCTCACTCACTAGTAGCAGCCTGCTCCGTCGCTGAACGCTCAAGCAGGTACCGCCACCAGCCAAGCGCAAGCTTGCTCGCCGCCCAAGTAGTCTTATGCACCGCGTACATGCGCGTGCGATCGTCAACACAATGGCATCATGTAGAGCGCGCTAACCTCGGGCAGTCTGACGCTCTATTGCTGACCTGGGCGTGCGGGATCTACCAAGCCATCAACATGGTCGTTGCATGATAAAAGCCTTTGCGCTGAGCGGAGCGACAGTCAATCGAGCAATACCGCTACTATTCCATGACTGTCGAAAGAATCGGCGCAACTACTAGTCGAACGAAACTGAAAGCGTGAGCGATCAGGGCTCCGAGTGGAAGCAGCTGCCGAACTGGTTCCTCCTATTTTCGAGCCGACTACCTGTTTAGTGTAATGTCTTCCTTTAGATTTTCAACAGATTCGTAGGACCCCAGTGATACCCTAAGTGGATCGCGAAATTCCACGAATGGCATGCAAAGCTGTTCGAGTCTGGGCGAATTAGGTGCGACAATGACAAACCCAACTTCACTTTCTTCAGCTGATATCTTCAGGTATGCTTGGACTTAGAGTGATAGAACCGCACCGTGCCCTCGAGCACCTGCCTGCGTGCCTCTGGCCGCACGCCACAGCATGACAAACAGTATCAGCTATTCTACTGTTTACCTTCGTCGCGCACGCCAGTGTACTCACGGATATGGCAGCAAGTTTTTTGTTGAAATACTTTTAATAATAATGTACAGTCCATGTACAATGTACATGATTGTACGTGCGTATGTGCTCATTATGATTGCACTACATACCAGCAGTCATTCAATCCTTTACGTTTCATAAAAATCAAGGGATTTTCGTGCTTCTCTTTCTCCTACATGCAGTCATTTGGGTCAAAACCGTAAAGAATTACTACCGGTACAAGTATTCACTGGTTTGAGGGAAAGACGCAAACGGGAAAAGTCTAAAGAAAAAATTGACTGTCGCCACCAGGACTCGAACCAGGGAGTCGGGGTTATTAATCACGACGTTGTTGTTGTTGTTGTTGTTGTTGTTGTTGTTGTTGTTGTTGTTGTTGTTGTTGTTGTTGTTGTTGTTGTTGTTGTTGTTGTTGTTGTTGTTGTTGTTGTTGTTGTTGTTGTTGTTGTTGTTGTTGTTGTTGTTGTTGTTGTTGTTGTTGTTGTTGTTGTTGTTGTTGTTGTTGTTGTCGCCACCAGGACTCGAACCAGGGAGTCGGGGTTATTAATCACGACGTTGTTGTTGTTGTTGTTGTTGTTGTTGTTGTTGTTGTTGTTGTTGTTGTTGTTGTTGTTGTTGTTGTTGTTGTTGTTGTTGTTGTTGTTGTTGTTGTTGTTGTTGTTGTTGTTGTTGTTGTTGTTGTTGTTGTTGTTGTTGTTGTTGTTGTTGTTGTTGTTGTTGTTGTTGTTGTTGTTGTTGTTGTTGTTGTTGTTGTTGTTGTTGTTGTTGTTGTTGTTGTTGTTGTTGTTGTTGTTGTTGTTGTTGTTGTTGTTGTTGTTGTTGTTGTTGTTGTTGTTGTTGTTGTTGTTGTTGTTGTTGTTGTTGTTGTTGTTGTTGTTGTTGTTGTTGTTGTTGTTGTTGTTGTTGTTGTTGTTGTTGTTGTTGTTGTTGTTGTTGTTGTTGTTGTTGTTGTTGTTGTTGTTGTTGTTGTTGTTGTTGTTGTTGTTGTTGTTGTTGTTGTTGTTGTTGTTGTTGTTGTTGTTGTTGTTGTTGTTGTTGTTGTTGTTGTTGTTGTTGTTGTTGTTGTTGTTGTTGTTGTTGTTGTTGTTGTTGTTGTTGTTGTTGTTGTTGTTGTTGTTGTTGTTGTTGTTGTTGTTGTTGTTGTTGTTGTTGTTGTTGTTGTTGTTGTTGTTGTTGTTGTTGTTGTTGTTGTTGTTGTTGTTGTTGTTGTTGTTGTTGTTGTTGTTGTTGTTGTTGTTGTTGTTGTTGTTGTTGTTGTTGTTGTTGTTGTTGTTGTTGTTGTTGTTGTTGTTGTTGTTGTTGTTGTTGTTGTTGTTGTTGTTGTTGTTGTTGTTGTTGTTGTTGTTGTTGTTGTTGTTGTTGTTGTTGTTGTTGTTGTTGTTGTTGTTGTTGTTGTTGTTGTTGTTGTTGTTGTTGTTGTTGTTGTTGTTGTTGTTGTTGTTGTTGTTGTTGTTGTTGTTGTTGTTGTTGTTGTTGTTGTTGTTGTTGTTGTTGTTGTTGTTGTTGTTGTTGTTGTTGTTGTTGTTGTTGTTGTTGTTGTTGTTGTTGTTGTTGTTGTTGTTGTTGTTGTTGTTGTTGTTGTTGTTGTTGTTGTTGTTGTTGTTGTTGTTGTTGTTGTTGTTGTTGTTGTTGTTGTTGTTGTTGTTGTTGTTGTTGTTGTTGTTGTTGTTGTTGTTGTTGTTGTTGTTGTTGTTGTTGTTGTTGTTGTTGTTGTTGTTGTTGTTGTTGTTGTTGTTGTTGTTGTTGTTGTTGTTGTTGTTGTTGTTGTTGTTGTTGTTGTTGTTGTTGTTGTTGTTGTTGTTGTTGTTGTTGTTGTTGTTGTTGTTGTTGTTGTTGTTGTTGTTGTTGTTGTTGTTGTTGTTGTTGTTGTTGTTGTTGTTGTTGTTGTTGTTGTTGTTGTTGTTGTTGTTGTTGTTGTTGTTGTTGTTGTTGTTGTTGTTGTTGTTGTTGTTGTTGTTGTTGTTGTTG